GGAGAGGGAAGAAGAGAGACCACAGTTCACATTGTGGAAGCTGGATAACGAGTACACCAGAATTCATGAGGCTATATTCTCTTCTTTAGTGTACATTTCAAATTTCTAACAAGTTTTTTAAAATCAGTATTTCCATAAAGAGGATCATGACTTCCAAGTGTTCTATCTCCGCAAAAATTCTAAGAGCCATTGGATTAGACAGTCATTTATTTCTTATAACATTTATTAAATAATTTTTCAAGCCTTTTTAAGTTTCACAGAATGCAAGGCCCCACTGGGCCTTATGACTCTCAAAACACCTGCTAATAAAGTGTCTCCCATATCACTGGTGAACAGACGGCAGTACGGAGAATGACAGACAACAGGAAGCGCGCTGATACCTTTGTTTCCTTCAGGGGTCGGCTTCTTCTTTTCCTCCTGCGCTACGGACTCCTCTAGGTCCTTAGGGGTTGGGTCTAAAAGTTCCCACTCTTCATTGGTATAAAACACAGTCCTCCGACTATCATTATGGCCCCTCCCAGGACGGAAAGAAGACATTGAATTTCTATTGGGAAAAACGATGTGTTATTAATAAAAACAAAAGTCAAGCAAAATGTAATCTCATGTATATAGGATTGGCAAAAATTAAAATATCTAATGATATCAAATGTTGGTGAGGATGTGAAGAAATGGGGATTTTTTCTTTCTTTTTTTTTTGAGATGGAATCTCCCTCTGTTGCCAGACTGGAGTGCAGTGATGCAATCTTGGCTCACTACAACCTCTGCCTCCTAGATTCAAGCAATTCTCCTGCCTCAGCCTCCCTGAGTAGGTGGGACTACAGGCACGTGCCACTGCACCCAGTTAATTTTTTTATTTTTTATTTTTAGTAGAGACGAGGTTTCACCATGTTGGCCAGGCTGGTCTCAAACTCTTGATCTCAGGTGATCCACCCACCTCAGCCTCCCAAAGTGCTGGGATTACAGGCATGAGCCACCACGCCTGGCTGAAATGAGGATTCTTATACACTGCTGGTGGGAGTATAAATTGATATTATTACCATGGCAGAGGAACTCAGCAAGATACTGTTAAGTTGAAGAGGTGCCTGCCCCTAACACCCAGTATTTCCTAAAAGAATTCTTACATATGTGCACAAGGAGACACAAGCAAGAACATTCCCTGTAGCACTGTCTATATTAGAAAAAAAGGAAAAGGTACAACAGCCTAAACATTCATGAACAGGAGAATAAAACCGTGACACATTCACCAGTACTATACACCAGTTAAAATGAATTCATTCATCCAGCAAATATTGACTGAGCCTATAATGTACCAGGCACTATTCTAGATACTTGGAATATCCAGTGAACAAAACACAGCAAGATTCTTGTTCTTGTGGAATGTATATTTCAGCCAAAGCTACATGTATCATAGGGATAAACATTTTTTAAACACTGAATGGAAAAGAAAATGAAGAATTATAGGTACAGCATGATGCTGTTTTATATCTTCAGATAATACTAATAATAGAGACTATGAATACATATATATGTAGTAAAACCATTTTTTTAAATCCACACACAAATTACAATTATCAAATACAGAATATTGGCAACCTCTGTAAAAGGAAAGAAGAACAGGATCAAGAAGAGAGGATCTGGCCTGGCACAGTAGTTCACACCTGTAAGCCCAGCACTTTGGGAGGCCAAGACAGATGGAGCACTTGAGGTCAGGAGTTTGAGACCAGCCTGGCCAACATGGCGAAACCCCATCTCTACTAAAAATATAAAAATTAGCCAGGTGTGGTGGCACATGCCTGTAGTCCCGGCTACTGAAGAGGCTGAGGCATGAGAATCACTTGAACCTGGGAGGTGGAGGTTGCAGTGTGCCGAGATCGCACCACTGCACTCCAGCCTGGGCAATAGAGTAAGACACTGTCACCAAAAAAAAAAAAAGAGAGAGAGAGAGGGAAAGAGAGGATTTTAGTAATCTTCTGTTTTTAAAAATGCAGTAGAAATATGACAAAACTATAAAAATGAGTCATGGCTATCAGAGTAATCAATATAACTTGCCTGTGTGCTAAAAGTATTTTATTAAAAGTTTTAACAAGTAGGTTGAGATTTCTGCTTCCAGTGAAGATTGTGTAACAAGGACTAGATTTACCCTCCCCGGTGAAAACTAAAGAACTGAAAAACATTTAAAAAGGAAACCACGGTTTTCAGACGTTGGCTATCAGGCAGCACAGAACAATGGTCCTGAGCGAGGGAAAGCCAGTGAGGTAAGCCCACCTTACTGCCTGGAGAGAGTTTCCAAGCCGGGGTGCAGAAAGGGGCACCCAGGAGGAGCCCAGCATCTCTCTGAGCTGAGAAGATGGAGTGGGGAGTCTCAGGGCAGTTACAGCTCATAGAGCAGAGTACTAGAGAGAAGACAGCTGCACAGAGTGGGTGTCGGAGAGATCTTAGATGGTCCCCCAAGTCTTCAACTGAGTACTGATTGGGGCTTCCATGTAAGAAAGCTATCTGAGAACAGGGAGAGAACCACCTGAGAGAAGCAAAGGAAACAAGCCCTGAGCCTCACACAGGACCAGGAACAGTGCCTAGTCTCACCAGTTGGAGCAGAAAACCCCATAATTCACAGGGCATCAGAAAGAGTACTCAGAAAGGCTGCCGACCTTACCCCTAAAGTCTGCTCTCATCCCACCGAGCAAAGCTTAAAAGCAAACTTCAAAAGGATCAAACTGTTTCTGAGTCATTTAACACATTGGAGAACAAAGCTCAAGAATATTTATAGCAATACAAAAAAAAAAAAAATCCAGCACACAAATAGGTAAAATTCACAATATCTGGTACCCAATTTTAAAAATGAGCAGGCACGCAAGAAGTGGAAAGTACAAGTCATAATGAGGAGAAAAATCAATCAACAGAAACAGGTCAGAAACAACGAGTAATAAAATTAGCAGACAGGGACTCTAAAAGTTATAACTGTATTCCTGATGTTCTAGAAGCCAGAATAAAGAATGAACATCTTAGAGACATGGAAGATTTTTTTAAAAAAAAGATTTAAATCAAATTTCCAAGGATAAAACTACAATGCCCATGATGAAAAACATGCTAAATGGGAACGAGAGCAGACTAGACATTGCAGAAGGAAAGACTACTAAATCTAATGAGCCTGCAATAGAAACGCCCTAAAATGAAACAGACAACTGATAAAAGAAACAATGGAAGGATGGGCGGTTGGACCAATGGGCCGGTCACTGAAGGAGGAGAAGGGGAGGAGATGGAATAAATGTATGTGAAGAAATAATGACCAAAAACTTTTCTAAATTTGATGAAAACTATCAATCCACAGATAAAAGAAACTCAACAAACTTCAAGCACAAGAATCAGGAAGAAAAACACTACCAAGGCATGCCATAATCAAATATCCTAATACAAGTAATATTTAAAATTTTAAGTATAACCCTGATTTGCAAAAGAAATAAAGGAATAGTCCAATTTTTATAGTTAAACTGTCAAAAGGTTAAGAGGCACATGCTTGTTGTGAAGAGACATCTGAATTCATCTGAGCAGCCAGTGAGTGGAGGGGTGAGGAGAGGACGTGCTCACATGAACCACCTTACTTACACGCACACACGCGTATGCTTACATTCTCTTACTTAATAGATCCATACTTACTGAATACTACTCAGCAGTAAAAGGAATTTAACATGAAAACACCAAACAATATACTGTAGATAAGTCTCCAAAAGTTTACGTTAAGTGAAAAAAGACACACGGGAGATTACACAGAGTATGATTCCATTTATATAAAAATTTTTAAAAGTCAAAGCTGGCCGGGCACAGTGGCTCACGCCTGTAATCTCAGCACTTTGGGAGGCCGAGGCAGGCGGATCACGAGGTCAAGGGATTGAGACCATCCTGGCCAACATGGTGAAACCCCATCACTACTAAAAATACAAATTCAGCTGGGTGTGGTGGTGCGTGCCTGTAATTCCAGCTACTCAAGAGGCTGAGGTTGGAGAATCGCTTAAACCAGGGAGTCAGAGGTTGCAGTGAGCGGAGATTGCGCCACAGCACTCCAGCCTGGTGACAAAGTGAGACTCCAACTCAAAAAATTAAAAAAGTCAAAGCCTAAAATAAAATAATAAAAAAAAAAAAGTCAAAGCTATAATTTCAGAAAGGAGATCCAAGGTCGCCCAGGGCCAGGGATTAGGGAAAGGGATCAACTGCAAAGGAGCATGATGGAAGTTTTAAAGGTGCAGAAATGTGCTATTTATCTTGATTATGCAGGTGTTTACATCACTGTGTATAATTTCTTAATCAGCCTACTCACCTAAAATAAATGAACTTATTGGAGTTAAATTACAACTCAATGAAGTTATTAAAATAAACATGCAAGTAAATGAGGAGGAGGAAGAAATGTATCATTTGCTGTTTTCTTGGGTGGATTAAAGTCAAGGAGGTAAAAGGTGGCTTTATATAGTCTGCTTCAGATAATATTCTCATGTAAGATAGTCATTTCTCAATGTGTTTTTTAAAGCATATCTTTTTCCTTTTTAGTTGTTCTTTAACCATTCAGAATACAGAGAAATTATGTAACACACGTTCTCATCACACTATCACAGTATATGAATGCATGGCCTTTTGCTAACTGCTTTAACACAGAGTCACCAAGAACCAGCAATTATGCCTGTTTGGAACTGATACTCACTTTCTCGTAGCTTATTTACTTAGGACCAACAGGGAGCTGCTCAGTGACGTAAAGCATCCTGCACGTGCTATTTATGTCCTAAGTCTCTTCTAGAGCCTGGCATTGTGCCACACATCTTCATAGACAACTGCATAGAAGGACTCTAGTCAGTTCCCCTTGGTAACCCAATGAGCAAAATACTGTATAAAGTCTGATTTTATAAAAATTATCAAATTGTAGAGAAAGCTATTTCAAAACAGCTGATCTGGAAGAAAACCCTCACAAATGCTGGCTACACTTTTGTTCATTTTTTTGCCATCACTGGCTCATCACTTCACAGAGCACTGGCACCGCCAGACCCACTGCACCACGATGTTTCGGTGGCCCTGCCTATGGCAAGGACCTCACGGCAGCCTTCTCTCGGGTGGCACGTGACGACCACCACTGTCAATTGTAGGGGTTAAATTCTCCTTGCCGTTTGCCCTAGCAGTCCAACTGTGCTCCTGGGCGCTGGTTCCTAAGGGGTGAATGCAGGAAACAGGAATAAGGGCAGACACACCCCAACAGGGCCCAGGGAGAGAAAACAGTAATTTCCGTGACTTAGAACTGCCATGCATCCTCCTTCCTCCCACTGTGGTTTTACGTTTCCAGCCTGTCACAAGGCCCATCGTACACAGCCTGCAGCTGGGTGACAGCCTTGCTGGGGGTGTGTGTGGTGCTACTTGTCAAGTCCTGGGTAACAAAGAAATTGAATCAGGCTCAAAACCTGAAAGCCTCTTGAAGCTGAAACAGTATATGGTCAATTCCTGTTTCTGCTCATGTGGCAAAACCCAATTCTGGAACTGTGCAACAGGGGCTCATTACAGTGCAAACTT